TATATATATATATATATATATATATATATATAATTACTAGCTAATAGCATTTAAGAAAACTTATTTAATAAAACCTCTAAAATTTTCCCTCCATTTTCGGTTACAAAATTTATTATTAATGTTTTTTACTTCTCACATTAATACATCCTATTAAGTGTAATCATGAATTTTTCTATTATATTATATAATAATTAATGCTAATACCAACTAATAATAATTCACAATAAATATAAATTGCATAATTATATACAATTGTTTCAAGTTATTTATTTTAACATCAATATTATCTTTTTCTTTTGTATCTCATGAAAAAATTTCTCTAAAAACAATAAGTAAATTGTTTTAATAGCATAGTCAAACAACTTTAGAATCTTATAAATAATTATTTTTATAATAATAATAATAATCAAACTGTTATTATCTAATAATAATTAACAATTATTCATAATAATAAATAATCATTAATTTATTTTTGCTAATGATTAAATTTTAAAAATATAATATATTTATTATTAAAATTTTAATATTAAATTCTCAAATATTTCTTATTATATATTTTACATACATATGTGCGTGTGCAAGTTTTTTTAAGAAAAACTAAGAACCTAAAACACGTGGCAGACATAGAGTGGTGCAGGCCACCATAATTGACGTGGCGAAAACTATACATTGGTTTTCCATTTCAAGAGTGAGGAACAAAATTGAACGCCAAAATCAGTATTGGTGGCCGGCAATGCTTCACCGGAAAATCCAGCGTCTGAATGGCGCTCTCCTGCTTTTCGCCCTTCTACCTCTCTCTACACTTGCGCGGCCATTTGTTCTTGTTCTGTCCCAGGACGACCTATCCGACGCAGCCGCCGCCGTTTCCAATCAACCCTCTCCGCCCGATGACGTTTCAGATTTCGACGACTTCCCCGAATCGGAGTCCAAATCCGATTCCATCCTCGACCCTGGCTCGTGGTCTCCGCTGTTCGAACCAGATCTAAATTTTCAAGACCCTAACCTTAGTGATAATGATGAGGTGATTTATTACAACGGGGTGAGGAGGATGGTGGAGGCAGCTGCTAAAGGAGAATTTAGGATTATGGAGGAGGCTGCGGCGGAGATTGAAGCAGCGGCAGCAGATGGACATCCGCACGGGCAGTCGGTGATGGGGCTTTTGTATAGTATGGGAATTGGAAGAGAGAGAAATGAGGGAAAAGCCTTTTTGCATCATCATTTTGCAGCGCAGGGTGGTAATATGCAGTCTAAGATGGCCTTGGCGTACACTTACTATCGACAGGAAGTAAGCTCCTTTTCTTTTTATTTGTTTTATTTAAGTGTTGGAGATTATTTTTCTTGAGATAGATTGCTTGATCTTAACATAGACTGACAACTATGCTTCATGATTTACTGGTAGTCCATTCTAAAGGGATTAAGTGTCTTTTATCTGTTGTGCTTGTATGATTTGAAGACTCCTATGACTAGTAAAGTGAAATATCTGTTCTAGTCTTCCAGATGGCATGCTTTTAGTTTCATACATTGAGGTGGTTTTCTTGTGGAAAAAAATATCTAGGAACAAGGTTAACGAGTTCTTTTGAAATAGCCTCTGAAGAAATTAGGACTATTGGAGCAACAGAATAGATTTTACATAATATGTTGGAGGAATCAGAGGACTGAAAGATATGTTGACGTTTCTTCCTATTGAAAATTTTGTTATGTTTATCCAT